TTTTTAATTTGACACAGTCACATATATATAAACCAGTGCCTTGAAGGAGAGGTCAAATTAATAAAGGTGAATAAGTTACAACCTAATCCAAACGAGGTGATGCTGGTACAGACCATTATTGTTCTGAAATGGACTGGCTTGACCAGAGTAGATGGCACTGTACATACCTCATCTGACCAAGCGAAGAATATAGGCTCATGAACCTAGACCTGCTTTCTGAAAAGCAGTTAGGGGCTGTTGCCAGCAGTGCCTCTTTCCATTGGCATCTTGCACACTGACTCTTCTCCCTTCTACACCAGCCTGACCTTCTCATGCTGATCTATGTGCCTGTAATTTCCAGACTGAGTTGCTTTAACCTAAGGGACCGCCTTTCCCCATATGTTCCCCTGCGGGCACTACGGTCGGGGACGCAACATCTCCTGACGATGCCAGGCCCCGAGGAGGCCAGGCTGGCTGCTACCAGGGCCAGAGCCTTCTCGGTGGCGGCTCCTACCTGGTGGAACGAGCTCCCGGAGGAGATCCGGGCCCTGCGGGACCTTGCACAGTTTCGCAGGGCCTGCAAGACGGAGCTCTTCCACCAGGCGTTTGAGTAGGAGCTGCCACTACTGTACCACCCCTATCTGGCCCTGGAAGAGAGAACGACAGCGTCATGTGGAACTGACGGCACTGATTGGGGTACCATCTTTAAGTCGTCATCTCTATGGAAGATCATTTCGGAACATCTAGAGCACTTAATAATGTTGTAATATTGTAGTAATGATTTTAAATGGTTTTAATGTGTTTTATGTGTTGGCTTATGCCTGTCTGTGAGTCGCCCTGAGCCCGCGTTGTGGGGAGGGCGGGCTATAAATTGAATTTATAAATAAATAATGCACTCCATGTAAGGCTGCTCTTGAAGACAGTTTGGAAGCTTCAGCATATGCCACATTTTTGTCACATGGAATACGCCAGCTGCATTAGTTGCTGATCTGCTTCTAGGTGGGCTCAATTCAAGATACTGGTTCTAACTTTTAGTGTCCTTCATGACGTACCTGAAAGATCGCCTTTCTCCATATAAGCCCGCACGTCAGCTGTGATCAGCCCCACAGACCCACTTGCGGTGCCCTCACTCTGTCAAGCGAGAACGGTAGGGGTAAGATCTAGAGCCTAATCAGTGGAGTCACCTACCTTCTGGAATTCTTTACCAAAGTAGGTGAGGGAAGCTATGTCACTTCTTAATTATCACTGACGATGCAAGACTTTCCTCTTTAGATGAGCATTTGAAGAGTTTTAATTTCACTGAGTTTTGTTTTGATGTTCAATACTTAATTTTGATCTTTTGACTATTTTTAAGGTTTTATGTTTTAACTCACTTGCAAACTGCTCTGAGCATAGGATAAAACTTTGGATTACTATTAAGAATAAGAGCAAAATAATCAAAGAAAGCCACTCTGAACCACAGTATGCAAAACAATATATTTTTTAAAATCTGGTATTGTGTTCATGCATTTACTGACCTGCAAAACAAACTTTAGTTTTTTATCCCAGTAGGGTTTTTACGGTAAGAGACATTCAGAGGTAGTTTGCTACTGCCTGCCTCTGCATAGCGACCCAGGAATTCCTTGAGGGTCTCCCATTCAAATTCTAATCAGGACTGACCCTGCTTAGCTTCCAAGGTTTGATGAGATTAGGCTAGACTGGGCCATCTAAGGACTTATCCTATGCTATGTAATTTTAGACTAAAATAATCCAGTCTGCTAGCACATAAACTCTACAATTAATATGATCACATGGATGAATAAGCATGCTGTCTGATGAAATGCTGTTCTGTGCATCACGCTTTCATCAGGTGGCAATGAGTGACAGGGCCCTTAAAACACCCTTACTGCAGCAAGCCTTCTGCCTGCTTGGTGTGTGTGTTTGGTTTTTGCTTCCTCTGGATGTTATGTTTCATCTAGAAGTTTTTCTATCTTATTTTGGTTGATTTTAATGTGTGTCCCCCCCCCCCAGGTTTGGTTTTACAGTAATAACACTGAGTATGCTGTTAGCTACTTTAGAGATGTTGTATTAAAATGCGGGATATAAGCATTTAAAGTACATACATCAAAAAGTATCTGGAAACCAAACAAACAAAAAGTAACATACCCGTTCCTGTGCCCGATTTAACAGGCACATTGCCTCCAGATCAAAAGTATTTTCAGTAAGCCTCTTCTGAGCTACTGTCCGCTCATTCAGTGCAGAGGAGATGTCCACAGGCTAGAAGGTAGATATAATATTCAGAAAAGAAATGAAATATTGTATGGGAAAGGTTTAATATCTATATAAAAGCCCAATATCAAGGAACAGAATCATGGATAAGCATATAGACAAAAAGGTTACCAGGTTAGTCAGGGAGCAACTGAGTCCCTACCTCAACCATGTCCCCTAATGGCACACATAAGTGAATGAGATTAACTCAGAATCTCCTCTGTTTGCATACAAATCTTCAGATCTGCCTATGGAGGTTTCCTGGATTGCCACCTACACTGTGTACATTTTGAAGATTCATAGCCAATACTGCTGCTTTCTTTAAAGTTGTTAAGACCATTCTGATTCCTACCTCCAGATTAGCTGGATTAGGGAAGACATCATCTTTGTTTTCCTCTTTGTTCTTCTCAACTGGAACCCATTCTCCATATGCACTATCTGCTTCTTTTTTCCTGTGTTGAGATCCAGAAGAGACAGGAAACTCCTTTGTCAAAGTAACCTGATTTTTTGGAGGCGCTGGCTTTATTGTAGGAGTCTAAAAAAAAGCAGACTACAATTATGCATAATCATAGGCAATACTGGTATACATACATTCTTAACAAATTCTTAATAGTATGTTTAATTTAAAATGTGTGTACCAAATTAACCAGCTGCAGGAGGAGGAACTGACACCAATTGCCCCCCTGACACAGAGATCCCCCAAATCCCAGGGAAAGTAGCAGGATTAGTAGGTGTCCTATGTTGATTACTAGTGTACACATTGTTTTACTGATGCGGCATTTTTGTATTTATTACAAAACTCATTTGTAGATAAATTTGTGAACAACTAACTAGAAGGGCAGGATATAAATGTTCTATAAACAATAAAATAAAATAAGTCAGGAGTTAATGCAATTGCATTAATATTTATTTGTAAGTACTGTAGCTACATCAAGAAAAATAGGGGGTCATCTTACATTCACTTCCAAATTAAAGTATGTAAATAATAAACTTTTTATATATTTTATATGTAATATGGGGGGTTGTCTTTGGATAAATTTCATAAATTTGCAATAAACCAATATTACTCGTTTGCCAGATGTCACAATTACTTCTTTTCTCTCAAATTATTACATAAGAAAAATAATCCTATAATTTGTGATTTTACAGCACTTACAGTTAAGTTGAAAAAAATAGGTTTGGGTTCATTGAGCTTAAAGGGGTGATTAATAAAGGGATGTTCTTCTTCCTCTTCATCAGACACATGAGGCTTATTTACAATCACATCATCTTCCTGGCTCTGCGCAATCTTCTTGCATTTCTAAAAAAAAATCAGACATTTCTTTAAACAATCCATTCTGCTGTACATGAATGAAGACAACAAATATGTAACTCAGTAGCACCATTTTCATGATTAGAGCAATGCATGTATCAGAGCCCTGGTATCAATACAGCATGCCCTGCTGAGAGTGCCATGAAATCAACCCAAGTGGATGGAATAAAACATCAAAGTAAAGCTTGTTTGTAGACTGTCCAACCGGCATCCACCATAAATGGAATTAATCATGTCCACACGCACAACATGCTAAAGCCACTTTATCACTACTACCAGATAAATAGTCCTATAAAACATACTGCATTCTATATCCAACCCTAATTATAAGATTTTTTAAAATCCTGTGATTTCTGAAACAAATTTTTATCAGGCTGAAGCAGAAATCACTTTTATTGAAACATTATTGGGTTTTAGGCTACGTTTTCACACTTCACTCTTACCTCAGTGAGTTCCATTATCGTCTCTTTTGCTGACTTCTGGGTAACTGACTTCTCTTCCTTCTTTTCTGGAGTAACAACAGGCATTAGGCTCGGTGGCAGAGGCACACCAGCCTTGGCACACATGGCAGCTGCATTTGCTTTGGCTATTTCAAGTAATTGTGCCTTGTCTATAAGAATATTAAACATTTATTCATTACTTCATGACTAAATATCAATTCACACAATGCTTTTGGAATCCATTTTAGTTCTAGTGCATCAACTGTAAAAGGGGAATGAAAAGTAATAAATATGCTTTCTTTTTAAAGAATTCAATTTATTTTGTAAATTCACTTTCACTGTTCGTCTTTTATTATTTCAAAAAGACATTTATTTATATTAGTTGACCACAATGATACATGAGTGAAAGGGAACTTATAGATCTTTCTGGCCCTTCTTCCTACAGCAACCCTTCCAGAAGGTTGATGTCTCAGCTTGCATGATAAAAGCCAAGAAGCCCAGAAAGGGAGGTGTAACAAGAAAGTGGAATTGGGCAAAATCTCGTCTACTTCTTCTACCAGTAGCACTTTTGTTGCGCAAGAGGTGCCACTATCCCAAGTTGGAATGATTTTACCCATCTTCCTCTCTACACTAAACTCCCTGGGTCCACACAGCTTTTCAGAGGCCTCAAGTTGCTAAAGTAAGGAAAAGTAAGGAAAGATCTACAAGCACCTTCCAACTGGTGCTTTCTTAAACACACTGAGATTTTAGCCAAATGTAAATTTCTTTGAGGTGGATCCTGTCTAGCGCAAAGGAAGTAGACCTTGAATAAATTAATTTTTCTGCCCTCCCATTGCAGCCTGCTATCTTGAAACTGTGACCCCAGGGGCAGTCACAGTTGACCCTGCAATACAGCACACGGTTTACAGCACTCAGTCCACACAAAACTACTGAATCATCTCCAGGGCTTGAAAACTGATGCCTACAGTATAGAAAAAGGGGACACACCACAACAGATGCATACTGTCTGATACAGGTGAAAAGAGCTTGTTTCAACAACAAAAAAAAATTCAACCGACATCCAGGCTTCTCCTGAATACAGAATCTGGCTCTCTGACCCACCTGAATGAGGGAGCTGGACCCAGACCAACAATCTAGGCTCAAAACCTCTTTAACAGAAAGGCTACAATTTACCTTGCCTCTATATTATTTCTCCCCGGAGAACTTCAAATGAAGCAATATTGAACACAGCTATATATTATAATCCTTTACACTGCATCTCAAAATATGTGAACTCCTTAGCTTCCTTCAGCAAACCACACTATGCACAGTACCACGTACAGAAAGTTTGTGAACCAGAAATCCTGATATTAACCATTCATAAAAAGGGACTGACTAAAATAAAGAATATTGATGCAAACTAAAAAATTGGGGAACATGTTACAATAAAGCTCTGAAAGTGAATTACCCAAATCAGTCAGTCGTTTAGGTGACCTGCTTGAAGATCTGGATCTCCGATGATCAGGCGATACACTAGAGCTCCGTCTTCTCCCAGTGGATCTAGAGGTCCCCAGCCGCACAGGTGTTCGACTTCGAGACCGTAATCGGAGAGCTACTCTGTAACTGTCTCTTGAATCTGACCTTCTCCTTCTTCTGTCAACAGATCTTGATCTGTTTCTACGAGCTCTCCTACGTCTCTCCCTTGACAAAGATCGCTGTCTCGACACTGATCTTGATCTAGTTCTCCTCCAGCGTTTTGAACATGATCGTGAGCGAGTTCGAGACCGTGAGCGAGATCGATGATCAGATTTTGATCTTGAGTTCCTCTTCCGTGTTAACGACCGAGAACAATTCCTTCTAGAGTGTGATACTGTTCTATGGGTGTGAGATTTGGGTTCTGAACATTTACTTCTTGATCTTCTCAGCCTGTCTCTGTCTTCTGTTTTATCCAGAGATCTGGACCTGGACCTAGACTTAGATTTGGGATGTTCAGGCGATTTTGCACGATTATGCACAGAAGCTTCCAAAGATTCAGTTCCCACTGTTTTTTCAGGCGATTTAGACTTCGATCTAGATTTGGAAGACTTTTCTTTTGATACATTTGAAGAGTCTTTATCCTTTTTTCTTTCAGAAGATTTGGACCTAGATTTTGATTTAGACTTCTGGCGATCAGATGATTTTGATCTTCTGTGTCTAGACTTCACTGAAGACTCTCTTTTTTCACCAGGTTTTGTTACAGACTTATGATCAGATGACTTGGATCGTCTCCTTTTTGACCTTGATGAAACCTCTATTTTGTCAACAGATTTGGATCTAGATTTGCATTTCTCAGAAGACCTGGACCGTTTTCTTTTTGACCTTGCTGAAGTCTCTCTTTTGTCAAATGATTTTGATCTTGATTTGCGGTTATCAGAGGACCTGGATCGTCTCCTTGCTCTCACTGAAGTCTCTCTTTTATCAACAGATTTAGACCTGGACTTGCGATTATCAGAGGACCTGGATCGTCTACTTTTTGCTCTTGCTGAAGTCTCTCTTTTATCAACAGATTTAGACCTAGACTTGCGATTATCAGAGGACCTAGATCGTCTACTCTTTGCTCTTGCTGAAGTCTCTCTTATATCAACTGACTTAGATCTAGATTTACAGTTATCAGAGGACGCAGACCTCCTTTTTGCCCTCACTGAAGTCTCCCGTTTGTCAACAGATTTAGATCTAGATTTGTGATCAGAAGACCTAGATCGTCTCCTTACTCTCACTGAAGACTCCTGTTTGTCAACAGATTTAGATCTGGATTTGCGATTATCAAAGGACCTAGATCGCCTTCGCCTTGTCCTCAGTGTCTCTTTGTTTCCTGATCTGGATCTAGATTTGCGGTTGTCAGAAGACCTAGATCGCCTTCGCCTTGTCCTCAAAGACTCTCTTTTGTCCACTGATTTGGACCGAGACCTACGATTTTCAGAAGACCTGGACCGTTTTCGCCTTGTTCTCACCAAAATTTCTCTTTTGTCATCAACTGATCTGGATCTAGACTTATGATGATCAGAAGACCTGGACCATCTTCGCCTTGACCTTACCGAAGATTCCCTTCTGTCAACAGATTTGGATCTAGATTTATAATTATCAGAGGATCTAGATCGCCTTCTCCTTCTCCTCACTGAAGTCTCTCTCTTGTCAACTGATCTGGATCTAGACTTGTGATTATCTGAGGACCTGGACCGTTTCCTCCTTGTCCTTGTTGATGTTTCTCTTTTGTCAGTGGATCGTGATCTAGACTTATGATCAGAAGATCTGGACCGTCTCCGTCTTGATCTTATTAAAGTTTCTCTTTTATCAACAGATTTAGATCTAGATTTTTTATCAGAGGATCTGGACAATCTTCGTCTTGTCCTGACTGATTCTCTTCTGTCAACAGATTTGGATCTAGATTTTCGATGATCAGAGGATCTAGACCGTCTCCGCCTTGACCGTAGTGAACTTTCTCTTTTATCAACTGATTTGGATCTAGATTTATGATGATCAGAAGTCCGAGAATGCCTCCGTCTAGATCTTAGTGAACTTTCTTTGTCCTCTTTTCTCTCAGCAGATTTTGATCTAGACTTACGACGTGAGGAAGAATGCTTTTTCCGGGAATCAGAATCATTCTTGCTTCTAGAGCGTGCTCTTCTTGAAGATGTCTGTCTAGAGGTGGAACGTGATCTAGACTTTTTTTTACGTTTTTTTGACTTGGAAGGAGATTTTGACCTACTCTTTTTGGCTTTTTTCCCACTCTTGCTTTTGTCTTTACTTTTGCTGCTTATTTTTTCACTTTTCCTGTCTTTTGAAATACTTTCGTCATTTTCTTTCATTATCTCTGAGGACTCTGGAACAGCTTCTGAATGTTGATCCTTCAACGAAGTACATGAAGTTGCTTCCAGGGCCTTCTCTACTATTTTCACAGGTTCAAGAGCAGCTTCTGAATCTTTTACCTCCACAGTTATCTGTTGACTTGCTGCCAAATTATTTTCTTCTGCCCCACAAACAGATTTTAGAGATGCTTTTACTATTTGCTCCTCCAAAGACACCAGTGTAGTTGCTTCTGGGGTTTTTTCCTTGCTTAAGCACAAAGGTTCTAAAGCTGCTTCCAAATTTTTCACCTCCACAGTGACTTCTGAAGACATTTCAGAATTCTCAGCTTGGGCTAATTCTGCATGTTCTGGCACTGATGCCAGACCTTTCATCTCTCCCATACACACACATTCTGAATTTTGTTCTGAAACTTCTATGCCCTTTGCATTCATGTCTTCAGCTTTCACAGCAGGAATAGATTTCAGAGATTCTTCAGAGACCGCTTCTGACACAAGCACAGAAGTTGAATCTCTTTCTGAATCGGGTCTCTCCAAAACTAGCAAAGATTCTGCGCTTCCCTCAAAATACATTCCTTCTTCTTTATCAATAGGGGACTGGACAATTTGCACATCTTTTGATTTCCCAAGAGATTCACATTTAGAAATTGCTTCAAGATCTTTTAAGTGCATAAGTTCTGAACCAGTTTTAGATTTTCCAAATCCTGTGTCTATCAACTCTGTCATACTCATAAATTCTGAATTTGCTTCTAAATTTTTAATATCTACTACATGAACCATTTCTGCAATAGGTTCCGAATGTTTTCTCTCTGTTCTGCAGACTGGTTCTATGTTTCCATAAGTTTCCGTTATATCTGACATGTGTGTACGCTCTATAGCTGTTTCTGAACGTTCTTCATGAAAATGCAGCTGTATTTTGTCTGAATTCTTCCCCATTTCTGCAACCACAGATGATGTAGTAGATCCCAAATCTTTTCTTTCCATGGTGCCAGGAAACTGTGGAGTGTTTTCTGAAAGATCCTGCACTTCTTGATATATAAGACTTTCTTCCATACATCTTGCTTGCACAGCACACATAGACTGAGTTAAAGATTCTAAATCTTTTCTTTCCCGGGCATGTTTAGATTCTGATTTCGTTCCCAGAACTCCCACCTGTTTCAAGCAGATAGCCCCTGAAGTTGTTCCTGAAACTTTCTCTTCTGAAATGTATTCAGATTCTGGAACAGTTTTGTAGTCAAATGGCTCCTGCACACAGTCTGTTTCTGAAACTGATTCAAAATATCTAACTTCTGTTTCTGATTGTAGGGGAGTCTCAGAATCAATTATATTTAATGCTTCAATTTCTGCAGTTGTGTCAGAAGACTCCAAATGTGCCGAGCTCAGATATGTTGGAGTTGTTAGCTCTAGTATTCCTTCAGAGTTTGTAATTTCAAGCACGCACACAGACTCCGAAGACTTTAATTCGGATGTATTTTGATTTGTTGCAGAAGGTACTGGAACTTTTGCTTCCAATACTATTTCACAATTTAATGTTTCTCCTTTCATTCCTGATGTAAGTAGAGATTCCACAACATTATCTGAATCTGCCAGCTGCAACACACAGATAGGTTCTGAAGTTGTTTCAAACTGCAATGTTGTTGCTTTTACCTCCCCAGCATCTACAAAGTCAGAATTCAATTCTGTATCTTTTACATCCACCATAAACATAGACAGTGTTGCATCACAATCTTCAGTCTCTGAAACTTGCACAGATTCACAGACTGATTCAGAATACTTTTCTACTAAAGCTGCTTCTGGTTTTAGATCTGTTCCAGATTCCTTTTCTTCTGCTTTGTTTACAATTTGCAACATGCTTTCTGTACTGCCTGCATCTACAGTTGGTTTATGTTTCTTAAAAACTTCTGAACCATTTGGAGCGGCTTCATAATCAAATTTAGTATTTACATCTTTTTTGGCAAGTGATTCTAGATTTGCTTCTGAATTTTTTGTATCTGTTACAAGAGCAAAGTCAAAAGTTTGTTTCACTATGTCTACAGGTGCCATTGATGCTACCAAATGTTTTACTTCTTCGGCTGTTTCAATTCTTTCAGATGCTTTTAAGTCTTTCTCCTCTGCTGCATTGACAGGAATAGGAGTTCCTTCTATACTTATCACTCCTAGTGTAAACTGTGACATTGGAACTACATGCGTCTTTTTAACAACTTCCAAATTTTCAGTATCCAAAACACACACAGTTTCTGAATTTGCTTCCAAACCTGGAGCAGTCAATGCTTTGTTTCCAAAATCTGTATTTGATTCTTGCATTTCATTTTTCTTTGGAGATTCTTCAATACTTTCTAAGAACTGAGATGCTGCTACTGCTTCATATTCTGGGAGATCTTCAGTTTCTATACCTGGTCTGTGGGAAGATTCCAGTTCTATCTCCAAGTCCTTTGCATCCACTATCTCAGATTCTGAAATTATTTTTGAATCTTTTGGGTGCATCACGTACAAAGTTTTCAGGAAGTTATCTGAAGTTGTCTGTGCGATAGACAAAGATTTGGTACAATGTTCTGAATCTATGACTTCATTAACCTCACTCGATTCTGAAGCAACAGTCAGATCTATCCCTGATGCATATGGAGAATCTGGGGCTGCTATAAAACCTGTTGCTTCTGTGCTTTCCTCCAATTTCTGTTTTTCTTGCAACTGAGTTAATTCATCTGAAAACGGAAGTTCTGGACTGGATGCTGTGTATTTAACTTCTAAAGCATGCTGAGAACCTAAGTTTATTTCTCGGTCTTTTGTTTTCACAAACGGCAAAGGTTCTAGATTTTGTACTGCATGGTGGCTTGAAATTGATTCAAAATCTGCTGCAGTATTCAGAAGTTTGGAAGTATCTTTTGGATCAATTAGTGCAGACATGTCCCGTCCAGAAGTTTTATTAGGGCTGTCCACATCCAAAACAGGTACAAATTCTCCAGTTTCTTTTCGTTCTTGTACCACTGGTATGGCATCCACTTCTGGAGTTCTTTCTGAACTTATAATATTCACCTGTTGGAAAGATTCTGAAATGAATAACAGGCCTTTAACATCAGCAGATGGCTGTTTTTCTGTTATGTCTTTCCCCTTCAAGTATCCTGATTTAATTTCCTGTTCTGCTGTCTCAGCACCATTCTGGCCGCTCCCCACATACTCAGTAGTATCCAATGCCTTCTCTTTTACGCCAGTCACAGAATAAGGAACAGTTTTTAAGTCTTTCCTTTTGGTCATAGCTTCAGATGGTACAAGTGTTTCCAAATATTTCACATCTGTCACTGCTTTAGAGTCTACTTCTCTATTTTTCACTTCTCTGTGCAGATATTCTATTTTCTTTTCTAAATCATTCAACTTTACTACTGCTGCAGATTCTACAGTTTTTAGATCTTCAACTTCCCTAGCAGGCAGTGCGTCAGAGTTGTTTGCATCCTCCATGTGCAGCAATCCTGGAACTCTTCCTGAACTTTTCAGCTCCATCACAGCTTCAGGTTCTGTATAAAGTTCAAGACTGTGTTCCGAATAGTTTGTAAATATCATATGCAGTGATTCTGAAGCGGCATCTAAATCTCTCTCTTCTTCCTGCCCCTCAAGCTTTAGATTAGTTTCTGAACCCTTTCCTTGTGCAATTACATCAGACTGTAAATCATCTTTCACTTTTTTCATTTCTGTAACGTATAGAGTTTCTGAAATAGTTTCTATTTTCTTCAAAGTCATTGAACGTTGCTCTGGATTTTTTTTCAAATCCGTCAGATTTACCTCAGTCTCATTTTCTGTATCTGTCACAGCCAAGTGCTTTGAAACATCCAGGTATTTTGTTTTTGCAGAATTATCCAGAGTTTCTGGAGCCGTTTCTAAATTATTACTCTCTGGAACTTTTTCAGATCTTGGAATGCTTTCAGAAACTTTCACTTCAACTACTGTCTCAGAATCTTCAGGAACATCCATATCTCCCTTCTTTTCCACTGCAGTTTCAAAAGGTGCTTCCAGATAATTAACTCGACTTGCTTCCACAGATTCTAGATTCTTCATAGACACCACTCCTTCTGGAATAGTGCCCCACTTTTCTTTTTCTGAATCATGCACATCCATCTCCTCAGATTCCACAGCAGCTTCTAAATGTTTTGCTTCTACTTCTGTATCAAAAAAATACGTTCCAGAATCAGTCCTCTTTATAACCTCCAATTCAGGTGCTCTTTCAAAATCTTTCACATCTGCTACAATTCCTAGAGATTTTTGATATTTCAGTGGATCGTTCAGTTCCATCACAACTGCAGACGTTTCTTTTAGTTCTCTCACTCCTATTGTCTCAGGATCAAGAGATGCTTCCATGCGTTTACATTCATCAGGTTCTGTACTTCCTTCTGAATCTTCTGGCCATATCTTAGGTTTAGGTGCTAGATAGGATTCAAAATCTTTTCCAGTAACTGTACACATAGATTCTGGAATTCCTTCCAAATCTTTCTTTTCTATCCTAGACTGTGTCTGTAGAGTTTTTTCCAAATCTTCCATCATGGCAATTTTCTCAGAGTCTTGTTCTAATTCATCTTTCATATCTGTAAGTGCATCATCTTTTGGACTTCTTTCGGAAGCTTTCACCTTTGCTTTGTTCAAAAATTCTGAAGTTGCTTCAAAATCCTTCCCTACCACCATAGCCAAAAATCCCAATGTTGTTACTGAATCTTTAGCTTCTGCATTTGTCTCCAAAGGAGTTTTCATGAATTTACACCCAGTCTTTTCAGATGAAACTGTTTCTGGTTGTGCCATGATTTCTGGATCCAAAGATTCTGAGAGAGAGTCCAACTCTTTTGCTTTCACTGAATAAGATTCCACCCTGGTTTCCAAGTCTTCTAGCTCCACAGCCACGAACTTTGGACTATTTTCAGAAACATCTATATATTCTGCTACCTGCAATGCTGAACTAGCCTCAGGCTGTTCCATTTTTTTCATACTGGTATCATCTCCTTCGCTATCAGCAGTATTTAAAGATTCATCCTCTACATGCAAATTCACAGCCAGGTTGGTATGCTGGCAGGTATAACTCTCCAATTCTCTCTCATTGGTTAGCTCTACTTCACAGAGTTCCTGCATACTGATTAATACAGAATCATCTTCAGATGCATCCAGTTTGCTGGTATCTGAATTAGACGCATCATGTGAATTTGACAAAGATGAATTTAGATTGTCATACACAGTTTTTTCCGTAAACCACTGAGAATCATGTTTCAAAGGAGATGTAGATCCTACATTCACATTCTCTGCACTCAAAACTAAGCTTTCTGGATTCAAAAGAGAAGCAGGCTGTATATCCCCAAACCCTTTGTGGTCAGAGTTTAATTTTGAGTCCTTTGACTGCTTTTTATATTTTTTCTCTTTTTTCTCCTTCTTTCTTTTCTTCTTTTTCTTCTTGTCTTTGTGTTTCTTGTCCTTTTTAGACTTCTTCCTTGGAATTTCATCTTGCACTTCATCAGGTATGCCTCTTTTAGTGGAACGAGACTTACTTTTCACGATGTCCTGTCCAGCATCTAAAAAAAGCCAATTTTGTTAGAATTATTAAAACATAAGAGGGTTTCTGAAACATAAGAATGCAAAGAGTTGTATCCTATTATTCAATGTTGCTTACAGCAGAGTTTTATGCCTGCAAAAATACTTTTCTGGCAGCAAAAGAGGTTCTCTGCAGGTGAAAGTTTCTTACCCCAATGGAAGAGACTCACAGGATACAACCCAAATAGTATCATGTAACATTAAAAGCTATACAAAAGTCCATGCAAAAGGCTTGATCTTACAAGGTTAAATGACAAGCTGTATTCTGCCAATTTTGTTGGAATTACTGTCTACAAATTTACTACACAACAGTCTTTTCCTCCTCAAGAAGAAAAATATTTGGGAATACAAAATAACAACTGTTTCTAAACAGCAATGTAACTGCTAAGGCACAAAGAAGAAGTAAATGAGTGATATTATCTGGAAACAAAGCTTTCTATGTTATATAATTAGTACTGATCCAAGGATTTAACATGCATGCTTTACTACATTAATATCATTAAATTCCCTAAGCAAATGACTGGCACTGTTAAACTAGCCATATCAAAAGTATGATAACAGATCATATTTGAATCTGAAGGCACATGATAAAGCAGGTGATGTTAAACAGGTATGGATCCAATCAGTGCCAAGATGGAAGTCAACCTCAAAACCATATGTATGATTTCAATTCTATTATGGAGAAAATGTGCAATATAAACACTAAATGTAAACAAATAACATAGGAAGCATCAACCATATGGGCATGTAGTATTTGACTCCACTCCATAAACCACACGCTGCATGCTGTCAGCAATCCAGCACAGCTCCATTCCATATCACTCATGCTGAAGTGGATCATGATTTGTTTTTATGAACTTTTCAAAAGTCTAATTTACTAAGCAGAACTAACAATACAGTCTTTACTTTCATATAGAAGGAGCAGACAAAAGACCTGAACAAATAAATGTTTATTTACAGTTGCTTGTCATCAGATCACCTTCTCTACAAATTTCCATTGATACCAGTGATAGGGATTGTGATTTGGACTGAGACAACAGCACCAAGGAGGGGACTTATATTTCCCATTGAAAATTTTGCCTCCCCAAATTTTGCATGTTTTCCCTTTAGGGCATATTCCAGCTCACCACCATTAGAAACACAGGACAAAGTTAAAGGGATCCCACTCTGGTACCATATTCCTTACCCCTGCAATCATGGATTTCCAACATCTTAATAGACTATTCAGTCTGTAGCCGATTAGTGCTACCATCTCACTCATCTAGATAAGTGATTTTGGGATTTGGCTTGTGGAAGGTGGGAAACCATATTTGTGATAGTGTTATTAGGAGTAAACATTTATTCTTAGCTAATTTTACATACTGAATGTAAAATTCAAAGTGCAGCAAATAGTAAACATATCACTTTTATGCCTTCTTGTAAGACAGAAATAAAACATTTTGAAATACATGACTAAAATTAGAAAAAAGCAATGCTAATCTTTAAAAACTGGATTCAAAATTGACAGTGTATGTTTAGAGAAAATAAACAATTTCCCATTTACCTGGTTTGTAATGTGGCTCTGCACCCAAGACCTCTGATAATACTTGCTCTATCTTCTGTACTAGTGGATCATTCTGAAGCGCTCCAATTGTAACATCAGCAGAGTTTACTTCCTCAGATGAATCTATTTCACCATTCTGTTGGCCTACCTTTCCACTAAACAAGAAAAATACACAAAAAACCTTGTTTAAGATGCATATTTTAAATATATTTTAAAATGTGAAGACATTAAAATATGCTAGAAGTAAAACAAACAAATCATGTATTTGTGGTAAATATTAAAGCTTCAAGTCTATTCACATACATTCACTTCCTGAACAAAATAATGAGCTGGATCCTGTCAAACTTTGGGAACAAAGTGGTATGAATAACTTGCAAAGGAGCTGGGGGAGGTTTCTACTGAATCTCCCTTCTAGCTGTCCCTCCTACCACCAAATCTCACGTAGTTCCCAATGGTCCCCCAAACCCTCAGGAGCACCTTAGGGAAGGCCACAGGTGGCAGCATAGGAAAAGGAAATTTCCTACTGAGAACCCTATCCAAAGTTTGATCGAATCCTACTCAATATAAAAACCGAACTGTGGCAATCCCCCCCCCCCAAGAGAAACCCTCAAACTAGCAGAATTTCGGAGTCATATTTATTTACCTAAAATATTGATGTGTTTAACTTTCTCCTTAGCATCTCTCAGGACTCAAGGTAGGTAACCACAGGATAAAATAAATTTTATAAAATGAACACCAAAGCAAAAGATATGAAACACACTAAAAAAATTAAAAACCAGCAAGGAATGCCTAGGCAAACGCAAAAGATCTCAGCAACAGCAATTTTGCAGATTCACTGGAAAGCAAAGAATGTAGGAGCCCACCTCCAACCTCTTCTGAGAGCCTGGTCTAGGGGTAAGGGGCTCCCACTGAAAAGGCTTGTGCCTGGACTGTTACTGAAGAACAGACAAGGGGTTACTAACAGCAGACCAGCTGAGAAGAACAAAACTGCTGCATGAGAACACAGAGGGAAAGGTGTTTCTTCAAGTACATGGGTCAATAAAGATGATTCCTGTTCAATTAGAGCCCAAAACTAATTGGCATCTAGTGAAGGAGTGATATGTTCCCACTGGCAAGTCCCAGATAACAGTCTACCATTTTTTTTCAGAAGCTGCAATGACCAGTTCATCTTCAAGGGCAGCCCCACGTAGAGCATGTTACAGTACTCTAGACTTGAGATTACTGAAACATGGGATCAGCATGGCCAGACCATACATTTGCAAACAGCTATCTTGCTTACTAACCAGATTTAACTGAGATAAAAGCATTTTTCACTGTCACGGACACCATTTCTCCAACAAGACTCCCAAACTTCTAACAGTTTATCAGCAAAAACAGCAAGCCATAAATAGGAAAAATAACTTGCCCATCCAGCAAGCTTCACTTCTGTCTTATCATAATATACAGCTCCAAGTTGTTCTCCCTCAGTCACCTGACTACCACACTCAGATATTAGGCCAGGACAAAAAAAAGCAGACCTGGTGACTTATTCAGACTAATATATAACCATCTATACACTGCTCCACCCAGATACACTTAACCATCCAGGTACCTCAGCAGTATTGCAGGGTCCTCTGTATCAAAGGCTGCACCACGCAGCATAACATTCTGCTACTAATCACTGTGGAAACCTCTAGTGAAACACATGAACAGTGAAATTACATACCTAAAGTAAATCAACACATCTGCAGAAAATACAATAAATATCCTTTTAATATGTACAGTAAGAGTAACAATACTGCCCATCATTTCTACTGTTACTTAAACCAAGATATCAGAGCCTGTATCATATGTTCAGGTACAAAAGGGGACACAAACAGAAAACCGGAAACTATTATAGATCACAGATTTTTTACATTTTGTTTGCAATCTTTCTTTGAAGTTTCTTTACCTAAGCCAATTAACACAATTTATCAAAACATTTAAAAACATGTAATAGCAACTATGCTTTTAACATACTAATATGTAGTTCTGGATAGATATAATCTATTAATCAGGAATATTAATAAAAATTTCAGAATTAGAAATATGAAACTATATGCATCCTGATCACAATATTTTTACATCATGATCCTAGTCCATGATTTTGCAACCTCTTTGAGGATCACTCCAATGTGCTACACACTGGGCTGCCCTTGAAAACAATCTGGAAACTGCAGTTGGTTCAAAATATGCCAGCCCAATTATTGTCAGGGGCTAGCTGATAGGAACGTTATCTTGCTGCCAATTTATCTCCAGGTTTAATTCAAGTTGATGGTTATGACCTTTAAAGACTTTCATGGCTTACAATCCACACAGCAAAACATGTTCCCATGTGCCAGCTGCAGTATTTGGACAGCCATCGGCTAGCTGTTCCCTTGCTTAGAGTAGTCCACCTGGCATTGACTAGGGCCCATGGTTTTTCCATCCTAAATCTCACCTTATGGAATAGGCTCCCTGAGGTCAAAGGGGTACCAACTCAAGGGGTATTTATCAGAAGCTCTGCAAGGCCATTTTATTTCCTAACTGGTATAGTGGTTAGATTGGCAGACTAGGATCAGGGTTAGAAGAAGAAGAAGAAGAGATTGGATTTATACCCCGCCCTTCACTACCCAAAGGGGTCTCAGAGCAGCTTACAAACTCCTTTCCCTCCCCCTCCCCACAACAGACACCCTGTGAGGTAGGTGGGGCTTGGAGAACTGACAGAAACTGCTCTTTTTCAAGAACAGCTGTGCCAGAACTATGGCTTGCCCAAGGTCATCCAGAAACTGCGAGTGGAGGAGTGGGGAATCAAACCCGGTTCTCTCAGATTAGAGTCCGCGCACTTAACAACTACACCAAACTGTGGGGATTCTAACTGGGTTACCCAGGTTAGAATCCCCACATTGCTATGGAAGCTTACTGGGCCCATCACACAGTCTAACCTATCTCACAGGGTTGTTGTGAGGATAAAATGGAGGATACTAGCTGCTTTGGGCCCCCACTGGGGAAAAAGGCAGGGCATAAATAAAGGAAATAATAAATGAGTGCAGGAAGGTTATTTGAGGTTATTTTGTATGTTTTAAATTTGAATGTGTAAACCATCATGAATCACACGGAAAGCCAAGATATAATCTACTTCCAAATATTTAATTTGGTTATACTGCAAGTAGAGATGTAAAGGAGTGAGGGGAAAACAGGAATAAAATAGCAATTAAAGTGTTGATTTTTTTTCCCCCAGAGGGTTTCTTAGGGCTTTTGTGGTCTATGCACTGAAAAATAACTACTATGAAATATTTTCTATTTTGTAATAAGTAAAAATTATTTAAATTCTTTAAGAATTTTCAACTTTACTCACTCAAAAATGTAGCATGATGGTGTTTATGTAAGACCATTCTAGAATGACAATACTTGTGTATATGGTAGACACACAACATTTTTCAAGGATATGTTGTTTAAATGTAAGAGATTTTATGCAAATAAAGATAATACCCTACTAAAGAGTTCAATGTTTTCAGTTTTGTGAAGATTTAACTTAATATTCAAATATGCTGCTAGTACAACTGTACAAGACTATTTCTGTCTAAATATACTTTTGTTCAACTTTTTCCCCTACCTTGCAAATGGCAAAACTGCCATTAAATGTAGTTGGCAGAATACAGTGCATGTATTTTAAATTAAGTTTCCCCATAGAGTCAAAATTTCTCAAAACAGATCTATGATGGCATATGAACAAAAAAGGATTACCATTTGTTTCACAAAAGAGTCTTCAAAACTAAAGATTATTAATATTTTAATACCAAGCAAATTTGTTCTGATGTAATATAGATACAATTTGGATATCTATAATATTTCACTGCTTCTTCTAGGGAACCGCCTCCAAATTAGAAAGTCTGTAGGGCTACCAGATGCTGCCAACGAGCACCGCCCACTTTTCTTGGGTGTTCCATATAATCTGGATAGTCAGATACCAGACCTTAATTTATCATTCCCAAATTCCATGTCTTTTTTTCTAGTGAATGAAAACACTAAACATTACACATCTAAAAGTTCATAGTTATACCCAATAACCCTCCCACCAAAAAAGCAGAACATGTAAAAATTACCAAAGTATGAGTGGTTGCATTTTAAATTTACATATTTCACAAGTACATACTCAAAGATTTCTAGATTCTTAAATAAACAACCAGAAATCTTCACCAAAATCCACACTGTAACATTTCATGACTGATTTAATTCCAACCTAAAGAAGAACTGTACTGTGACAAAATGTGAATTTAATCTTATAAAACCTTCCTTCCAAGGAACCACTAAGAAACTCTAGCTACTCTCCTGCTGGTGTTACATTTTATTTACAAAATTTATATTCCGCCTTTCTGCCTATTCAGGTCCATCAAGATGGTTTATTCACTGCCAAGAGCCACTACATAAGTTTATTGTATGCATTACCTTCCTTTTACTGCATTGATTCTACCTTTATAAATATCTTTAGCAGTATGGTGTATCATGCCTAAACAGCTTTTTTCCCTTTTCATTCCTGTATTTTATCATTTGTACTGTTTACAAATTCTGTAATCCTACTCCTACTGCAGTCCAGTTGAAAATGGGCCTGAGTGACAAAAGAAGCAAATTGGAGGGGGGGGGGGTAGAGAACTAGCGTTCCTGAAGTTCCCTGTACCTGAGACTTGTGCAAAAGTTTTCTACTACTCAAACTACTTCCACAAAATACATCTTTTCAGGGCTTTCAGGAACTGGGACCCATTTACAAAATCATCTAATCCTCAGAGCACTTAGAACTCTTAACTACTCCAAAACTTCTTGTTATTCAATATCTGGATACCTCTCTTAAGTACTTTACTGCCAAGGCCATTCTATGAGCCTTAGCCAAACTCGTATCACCCGAGTGGCCCTTCCCTCTCTTTATCCTTGCACTTGGGCCTCCTCTCCGTGCATTTCTATTTCGTTATTGTATAAACGCCCCCGCCAGAACCGCATTCCCCATGCCCGCACAGTTCTCAGGCCTTTCTCCCCACTTCGGGGCCCTTCCGGCCTGCCTCCGCTGCCCCTCCCCCACTCCATCCGCTTCGCCCGTTACGCCTCGCACATCGCCCGATTCCCACCCCCCACCCCCGCTACAGTACCGCTCCCCTCCCCACTTACCTGCCGAACTGCTGCTCCTGAATCTCCCGGAATTTACTAACCACAAAGGACCGAAAAATTTGCTCGATGTTAGTCGCCATGACAGCCTCGCAGCACTAACCCCCTCCTTCTCTCCGAGACGCAGATCCGCCTGCGCTCTACAATGCAACACCGGAAGTAGATGCGACTGCCCTCACTTCCTTTGTGCTCTCTGGACGCTGATTGCTGGCTTAGTTAGGGGTGGAGTGGGATGAGCCCGCGAATGGCCACTCTGCCATCGAAAGGAACCATAGAGGAGGCCAATTCCGTGCCGAAATGGACGTTATGATGCATGTAACATCAGTTACTAGCCCCGCCCCCTCCGTAGCTAGCGCGTTAAGCAATATGTGAGGGGGAGGGGGGGCTTACAAAATAGGAGCAGTAATTTAATTGACTAGAGGAAGCCGCTAAGGCTTTCCTTGTCACGTTAACCGCCACTGGGGTCTTCCGTGTGCCGTCACATGTAGTGCGAAAGCATGCACATAGAAAGAAACGGAAATGTTCAAAGAAACAGCCAGCAGCTTGCGTAAGCAGCGAAGCCCTCGTTTTTCCATTCCCCCTCCAGTCAAGATGGCCATGTTGGTGGTGCCGCAGTGGTCCGTTCCCACGCTGAGCCTGGATGATGGCGGATTTCCTGGCACACAACTTGTGAGGCTGCGCTACGTTTATCACGTTTCTCCTAAAAAATACTCCTAGGTGAGACTCGAGAGGTTCCGGAGTTTGAAGATTAACAGGAGGCGCTCACCCAATTATGTGTGTAATGTTTCCAGTGCCAAAGCCTACTAGAATGAGAAATGATATAAACAACTGTGATATGAACAGCAACTGAAAACATATTGTAGAGCAGTCTCTTCTAAGAACTAAAGTAATGTGACCTGAAGGGAAGTCCACAATTCTACTTGTTCCCTAGCAATCTTAAAAATAAATGCTTCGAAATTGTAAATCCTATGCAGTGCCGCATAAGCTAAATAAGCTACAGTTTAGGGCCCCGCAATCTGCTGGAGCCTTATTTGTCAGTTTAAAACCCTTTAATTATGTAATTATTATTTTTAATAAAAATTAAAAGAATATATTTTCAAATATTAAAAAGGCGTATATATTTTAAATTTTTCTGAGGCCAGCTGATGTAATTTAAAACAGTAAGGGGCCTCTGGGTTTTGTATAGCTTAGGGCCTCAGCAAGTCTAAATCCGGCCCTGATTCTATGCAATACATATTAACTTATAATAATGAAATCTACATACATCAATATAAGGCTGAAGCTAACTCCCAAATAAGTGTGTATCATGTAGTAAGTGCCGCTGTTGTTATAGTATTTGTCTCTGTTAGTGCATACAGCCAAAATATAGTTCAAAACAGAGGTCATCCAAATGTATGTACATTATGCCCCATAATAGCAATAAAAAACTAATTAAATATATTTTTGAGACTTTACACACATATTTTTAAACATGAGAGCCAGTGTGTGGTTTAATGGTTAAAACGTCTGGCTAGGATCTGGGAGATTCAGGTTCTGAATGCCCACTCTGCAGTGGAAGCTTGCTGAGTGACCTTGGGCCATTCATGCACACTCAGCCTGAGCCACTTCTCAGGCTTGTGATGATACAATGGAAAGGAGGATGTAAGATACCTTGGGTCCCCATTACAGACAGAAGCAGTGTATAAATTAATTAAATTGAGTCCCCAACCTTTTTGAGCCTGTGGGCACTTTTGGAATTCTGACCCAGTGTGGTGGAGTAGACACAAAACGGCTGCTGCAAAATGGTTCCCACAGAAGATGGAGCTAGCCACAAAATGGATACTGCAGCTTACTTTCGATCACACCGTGAAGGTCCTTGTGCTAGGGTGGCAGCTGCTGCCAAAGCAATGTTTATAATAAAAAAAGCCTCTATAACCAATTGAATCTCTGATGGTCATTCAGAAGTTGGCAAAAGCCCCACCCTGGCCCCACATTCTAAAAACATTTGGTGGGTACCAGGAAAGGTGTCTGTGGGTGCCCTGGTGCCCATGGGCACTTTGTTGGGGACCCCTGAATGAAATAAAGTACATTCTGTGCAATCCCATCCTATGCATCTTTGAGTCAAAATAATGCAATTCTATCCTATGCACACTTATAGTTAGGGTTGTCAGGGGATGGGAGGGTAGGGTTGCCAGATCCATGTTGGGGAAATCCTGGAGATTTGGGGATGAAGCCTGGGGAGGACAGGGACCTCAGTGGGGTACAACGCCATAAAGTCTATCCTCCAAAGCATCCATTTTCTCCAGAGGAAATGATCTCTGTAGCCTGGAGATCATCTGTAATTCTGGGGTATCCCCAGGTCCAATCTGAAGTTTGGCATTCCTACAGTGCAATTCTATGCAGAGTTACGGCAACCTAAACCCATTTATTTCAGTGGGTTTAGACTGAACTAATGCTGAGAGCCAGTTTGGTGTAGTAGTTAAGTGTGTGGACTCTGATCTGGGATAACTGGGTTTGATTCCCCACTCCTCCACTCACACCTGGCTGGATGGCCTTGGGCAAGCCATTTATTTATTTATTTATTTTTGGGATTTATATCCCGCCCTATCCAACAGCTCAGGGTGGCTATAGTTCTGGCACAGCTGTTCTTGAAAAAGAGCAGTTTCTGTCAGAGTTCTCTCAGCCCCACCTACCTCACAAGGTGTCTGTTGTGGGAAGGGTAAGTGAAAGGAATTTGTAAGCCGCTCTGAGACTCCCTTGGGTAGTGAAGGGCGGGGTATAAATCCAATCTCTTCTCTACTTCTTGTGTTGCCCTGTTAATTTGATATTGTTAATAAACCACGTTGTACACCATGGTATTTTTAAGCAAATAAACATAGGTTGTGTTGCCAGAGGCACTGCCTTTACTCTTGGGTAGCTCCAATAGCAGGGGCATCCCACTTTCTAACCTGAACCAGAGATCCACAAAACTCAGGCCAAGGACACTCCTGGTTCTGTAAGACAGAGCAAGCTCTGGAAACAGGGTCTCCATTTTCAGGTGACAACCAGGCACCCTCAGAGCAAACCTCCAGTCTTCTCCCCAACCCAGGAAGACATGCATATGAAACAAGGGCAGTTCCACCAGGTAAAACATCTACATTTCTAAAGGCTATTCGGAGGCAACCTAGCAAATAGCCCTGTCTCCAGAACCTCACCCAGCCCTTTTGTGTGATCCCCTGTCTATGTGTGATTTCTTTGTCTCAATACTTGTTCTTCTTTGCTCCATCCCTCAGGATACCAAAATAAACCAATCAAACATTCAAATTATTAACGATCCTTCCTAACGCTAATTAAGGACCCATCTCCCATCTTTTGTCTGTATCTGGGAACCTATTCAACTGTCTTGGCAGAACCATCAATGGTCATAAGGTCCATTCAACTAGCCCCAGTACAGTCATCCAACACCTGGCTTAATACCATCATAGCTAGACTCTGCCCCTCTGAAAGTTGATTGGTTACAACTAGGCCTTGCCCATCCTGATGCCACGCACCCCTGGGACTCATCATTGGCCCAGGTAATCTATTGTTCTCACCTGAGACCAGCCCCCAAGGCCTTCCACTGGTCTGCATTGTTTTCCAATGTCTATACCCGTCCAGGCACATAGCCTCAGACTGTGTGCCTTTGCCCTGATGCCAACTGGCAGTTCACCCCTAAGCCTTTAGGTTTAGGCCATAATCCCTTCTTCATGGACCTCTGCACGTCTGGACAGGTAGTATCACCCCATAACTGACCCATCTATTAGCTATCAATCACCTCTGCTTTCTTAGTTCTGTATTGTGTGTGTGATTTTATGTTCGTATGTTTAAGAATCCTTCGGTAAAGAAATCACTGTTTTAGTAATCTAGCCTCTGCGTCTATTTCTGGGACTGGGAAATCTAACTCCTGTACACACAAGTTCTGATCCTATATTTAATGCCTATTGCCATTTAATACTCATAATTCCCCAAGCTATTATTAATAAATTAAGGCAATTTGGCTAACAGTTGTTCCATAACATACCTGTATGGCCCAGGCTAGCTTGGTTTCATTATATCTAAGAAGTTAAGCAGGATCAGCCCTCGTTAGTATTTGGATGAGAGACCGCCAAGGAAGTCCAGAGCTGCTTTGTAAAGGCAGGCAACAGCAACCCACCTATCTATATATCTAATACCAAAGTAGCCCCCTCTGTGCAGATATCTAAATCAGCACAGAGGGGGCACTTGGGGGGGGGAGAGTTTTGTGCACACGCGGTCCCCAGGTGTGCACAAAAATCTAAAAAGTTTTTTTAAAAATTGGGGGGATACTTAAATCCCCCCAAAAGTGACAGAGCGTCCCCTGCGCATGCGCAGGGAACGCTCTGTAGCCGGCCTCGCCGCCGCCGCGGAGCCGGGGGGGAGGATCAGCCTCGCCGCCGCCACCTCGGAGCCGGGTGGGGGGGAGGACCAGCCTCACCACCGCTGCCTCGGGGAGATCGAGGGGGGGAAATGGAGGAGACGGAGCTCTTCTCCCCCCCCCCGCAAGTATCGCGGAGATCGAGCGGGGGGGGATGGAGGAGACGGAGCTCTTCTTCCCCCCCCCCGCGAGTACCGCGGGTCTCCTTACTTGTGAACTTCTATTGCCATAAATCAACTGTAACTTGACAGCACTTACATATACATTCCAACATCAAACCATGCTCCTGAAGACCAATGGTTTTGCTTTTTTGTGGGTTTTTTTTTTAAAGCACTAAATTATTGTTATATTGATATACTGTTGTAATGATAGGTTTGGATGGTCCTCTAAATCCCCAGTTTTCATTAAGAAAACCCCTTCCCTTGGGGAGATATGCCTTTTACCTTATGCAGGATTGCCATTTCTGGGTAAGGCAATTCCTGGAGATTTAGGGGTGGAGCCTGGGGACAGCAGGGTTTGGGGAGGAGATTGACCTCAGAGGGGTATAATTCCGTGGTGGGGGCTGTGACACCCCTGACAACACCAGCACCCTCCCTTGAAAATCCTGATTATGTATACCAAGTGCAGAAGAAAAGAAACTGACTCCACAGCTGTGAAAATGAAGAGGGAAGGCAGACATGTGGAAGAGCCATGCCCAAACTGATTCTAATGTTTGTGGATCAACTGCCA